GATAGCATATATATGATTGAGGAAGTCCCAGTTTTAAAAGGGGGGGCGGTTACCAATTGGGGGAACAACATTTTTAAAAATGAGATGCTGATGTTTCCTGATGTTTGCATTGGCAAAAATTAATTATGCTCTTGTTTGTCTCTTTGAATAGTCTGAGTAGCTGAAATGGATATAAGAGAAGCAATACACTTTTTGATCACCTTCAATGTTAACAAATCTTAATTGTCTTAAAGCTAATTTTGTAAGCAATGTATGACCACCACCTCTTGGGTTTTTAGTGGTTTTCTTTACTTTCACCTGTAGTTTGTAGTTACCCCTCCTTGTTTCTTTGTAGTTTATAGAAAATGAAATAAATAAAAAAATGGATGGCACCTATACTTTTTGTACACCCCCAGAGTCTCTTCTTTGGGCCTTCCCATAGTACATAATGCTGGTTGTTAGTGCTATTCTCTTCAAGAACCTCTGCACGTCTGGACAGGTAGTATTATCCCATAATTGAGCCCACTATTTGCTGTCAATTGCCCCTGCTTTCTTAGTTCTGAATTGCTTGCTCTTTTGGAATGCTTAGTGTGCTTGTAATTAGGGAAATTCTTTAATAAAAACTTATTAATTTACTCTTCAGATTTGGAGTCTTCCTATTGTACCAGACCTTGGTATAAATTGGTGTGTGATCCCTGGTCCCCCTCTGGCCTCCCTTGCCACACAGCTAATTTCCCCGAACCCAAACAGGCAGGCCACTGGTGGTAACAGAGTCTCATAGAAAAGACTAAAAAAACATAGTTCACTGTATTTTTCAAAAGGGTCAGAATATGAAGATATGCTGATATTTTAAAACTATATGTTTTTAAACGACTCAATTCTGTTTCACTTTCGGGGCAGGGTAAAAAGGGGTCAGGGGAAATATGGGAACATGATTACCAAATGGTGCTTTATCTCAAGGCAGTGCATGTTAAAGGACAATGGGACATCACTGCATTTTGGATGCCCATATATTGGTGGTGTCTCCCTGTGTTTAGCTAGAGCAGAATGTGTTTCTACAGCCTGACACACCAAAGGTCTTAGTTTTCCAACTGAAGGCTATACCTCACAAATAGCAGCTTGGTGTCCTTAGTATAATCTGATGTGGCAGCATATACACTGGTATATGCACTGGGTTGTCACCAATACCTGGATGACACTCAATTCTATCTCATGCTTTTGGCCGATCCCAGATAGGATGCAGAGCTCCTGAACCAGTGCCTGGAGACACTTATGGGCTGGGTGTGGGCTAATAATCTGCAGTGGAATCCTGGTAAAACAGAAGTGCTGCTGGTGAGCAAAAGGTCTGACCTGGGACTTAAAGTGTCACCTATTCTGGATGGGGTTGCACTCCCCTTGAAGGAACAGGCTTGTGATTTGGGAGTCCTGGACCCATGCCTACTTCTGGATAAGCAGGTGGCAGCTGTGCCAGGAGTGCCTTTTGCCCGCATTTGGTGGCAAATGCTGCCGCCAAGATGTTGACTGGAGTAAAAGATAGGGACCACATCACTCCAGGCTTGGCCCATCTACATTGGCTCCTGATCTGTTTATGCGCACAACAGAAAGTTCTGATGTTGATCTTTAAAACCCGATATGGCTTGGGAGCACCATACCTGAAGAACCTTATGAATCTACCCAACCACTGCACTCATCTTATGTGGCACCACTCTGGGTGCCCCCACCTTCTGAGATTAGGAGAGTGGCACCCCAGGAGACGACTTTCACGGTTGTGGCACCAAAACTTTCGTAACTTTCTGCCCAGGGAGACTCGTGTATCCCGTTTTGTTGCTCCCTTCTGCCAACCAGTGAATAGTTTTTGTTTTATTATTATTACATTACATTTATACACAGCTCCTTCCCGAAGGCTTGGAGCGGTTTACAGAGCATTCTACATTTCATTTAACTAGGGCCACAAATACAGGGAAGGGTGAGTGCCTACCGGGCACCTGAGCAGCCGAGCTATTCCATGTTGTTTCATCCATGGAGGGATCTTCTGTCTCCAGGCGGCGGTTTTTCTCGGTGAGGTCTGCTCTTTTCTTTGCAGTGACTCCTTCAGGCACGGTCTGTGTGGCGCGCGGCTGTATGACGGCTGCAGCAGCTGGTCTCCGTCCTCATAGACTCCGACCACGCTGCGTCGTCTCGTCACTGCGCCCTCCAGTCCAATCACCGTCTGGGTCACCCGCTGCCTTTTGCCGTCAGCCGCCGCCATGTTCACCGGATCTCCATTCGCCATCCGTCGCCGCCGCTTTTGTCGCCGCTTCTGCTGCACTCCAGTTTGTGGAGGAAGGAAGGTGCCCTCCCACTCCTAGGAGTGGGTACCCATTCATCTACTTGCCTGAATGCTTTCGAACCGCTGGGTGGGCAGGAGCTAGGACGAGGACTGGGAGCTCACTCTGGCCGCGGTGGGACTCTAACAGCCATTAAGGCTGTTCAGTGATATATTACTGCAGGCTTTTTACAGCCTGCGCCACCGCTCCCACATTTTTACCAGGTGTTCCCCTAGTGATTCCTACTTCTTGCCTTGTTTTAACTGTCATTTTTATGTTTTCGTATGTGTATTTTAGCTTTGGCTTTAGTTATTTTAACAATGTGTTTGTGTATGGTTTCAATGGTTTTTAAAGATGTGCTTTTATTATGTGTGTTTTTAATCTACATTGGTGGTCCTGATCAGGGCAGAACAGTGGGGTATAAATTTTATATTTATTAAGTATACAAGTATAAACCCTTTGAGAAAGATTATGATGGATATTTATTGTGCAAAGAGCTGTATGAACTACGGAGAGGCATGAGTGGATATATTATATAGCTGCAAATCTAAACTCTGGCCAATATGAAGTATGCAACCATACACAGAAGGGTTTTTAGAAATCAGTGATTGCCACAAGTGCCAATGAACAAAGCCTCTAAAATGAGTCCATATCAATGCTTAAGCATGAAATTGTTTCTGCTATTCTCCACTGTACCATGGAAACTTGAGCCACACGTAAACTGTCAGACTAACCAACCTAGCAGGGTTGTTGTGAGGAAAAAAGGAGAGCTGCTTGAGTCCCCAGTGAGTTGAAAGGCAAGGTATAAACAAATTAAATAAATATATTTTCTCTGATTCCACACAAGCCTGATAATTTTTGTCTAACAAAATCTCAATTTTTATAATGTAGAAGCACGTGCACTTATAAAAATGGGTTGAATCCTACCATTCTATTCAGCCACCGAATGATGTGTTGCATCCGTGGGATATGTTGCCCTTAGCCGAGAGCAGCTGTACACTACAACACAATACCTAAATGTCTTAAGTCCACAAACTGCTAATTGTAAGGTATGCCACAATTAAACAGAATTGTGGCATACCGTACAATTAGTTACTTCTCAAAAGCTGAAATGTGTACTCCATTCTCCAATAGTTCAAACAAACAACTGAACTGTGAGAAATAAATGTGTACTTATTTCAGTGGGGCAGTTTTTTGCTATGATATTCTGTAGCTGAAGCATCACAACTCACAAACAATATGTGGCAACATCTGCAGTGAAAAAGATGTCACTGATTATTCCAGAAGGGGCATACTTTTCTGTTAAATCTCTATCAATTTCAGCTTCAGTCTAACAAAGGGCACCTTTGTTTCACAAGTAACAGATAGAAGTACCTAACTGAAATATGTCCTTAATGTTCGTGCCATAAAAGGTAACACCCCCCCCCCCAAACCCTCTATTATTAATTGGAAGGAAAGCTAAGCAGCTTAGATGGGAGACCATGAAGGAAGTCCAGAGTTGCTACACAGAGGAAGGCAATGGCAAACCACCTCTGTTTGTCTCTTCCCTTGAAAACCCTACAGGGTGGCCATAAGTCGGCTGTGACTTGAAAACACTTTCCACGACATCACCAAATGTGTTAAATATAAGTGGCTTATAAACACATTAGCAACCGGTGCGGTGTAAAAACTGCTGGTTAGAGGACCTCCTGTCAAGAAAATGACATGTTTTCCTTGAACATCCACAATGTACGCCTATGGGAATGGAGCGGAGGAGAATGATGTAAGCCACTTTAGGTCCCCAATGGGGAGAAATGTGGGGTACGTATGAATTAAATAAAATGCATTACACTTCATCCATTGCAGCTTCCAGTTCTGCAGAATCTGCTGAAAACTATCTCAGCACCTATCAGAAAACACACAGGTGGACATTTCTACCAACTAAAACTCAGCCCATTTCAATGAACAAAGCAGTCTGGTGTGGTCATTTAGTATTGGGAGCTGAAATTGACACACCAGTTTCACAGCCTTCTTCCCAAACTGTAAAGCTGGGTCTCTCCCCCCCCCCCATGCCTTTTATTGATGCACTGAGAAGTTTGTTTGGCATAGGGGTCATACTTCCCCGTCTTCCAGTGGTCTCTTAAAGCTCAGCACTGGAAAATTGAAAGAGTTGCCCAGTTGCTTAGGCAACCAGGTGAATGCCCCTTTCTATCATCATGCTTCAGCAGTGCCCTAGAAAAACAAGGAGGCATCTCTGTGTTGCCTATGCAACCAGGAGATTGTTCACAGTCTTCAATGCACAGTAGAAAGCATGTTTAGATAGCAAATGTAAGGTGCAAAGGCAAAGCATTTTGTAACAAATACAGTTCTTTCCTGAAATTCTGCTGCAATACTTTAGTTAAGTTCTGGTACAGAAGTCTTTACTTGAAAGTATTGTTAAAATCCATATTCTCTGGCAATGTATAAAACTACACAGCACTTACTGAATACACAAAATACAGTTAGATTCATATAAACACTAGCATACAGGTGATGTACAAAAGCCACCCTCACCTTGTAACAAACTGTTTCCCAGCTTAACACTTCATTAAAGGAGGTATTATACAAAGCCTGTGTGAGTAAAAAAAAAATACTCTTCCGGAAAGAGTCTACGCTATTTATTTATAGATTGACAAGCTCATGATGAAACAGAAAACACCACTTCTACACAACTCAGCCAAGCATCACCAACATTACCTGGTTGGTAAAAAGTTGGGGAAAGTTCTCTGGCGACTGCTCTGGCAATGTCACACTCTTGACGGGCAGACTGGCCAGCCTGGTCAGCAGCATCGGCTTTAGCTCTTGCATGTGCAGTTCTGTACATGGCATAAAAGAGTGTTGATGAAATAAGTTCCTTTCTTGTAACTCACACTAATTATACAATATTCCTGACTCTGAAAAATAAATTATAAACCTACATCAGGGTATAAGATTATGGTCCAGGTGGATCTCAAGAATCTTGGAACTAATTACTATAACCATTTTCAGAATTAAAATATTTTGTCACTTTTTATCCTGCTAAGTTTGCTGCACAAATCCACAGGTTGATCAGGCCTGCTGTATCCACTGCTGTAGTGGATGCAATAGTGGCTCACTAAACTGTTAGCTTTTGCTGCATGCCTTGACAGGAGGCCTGTCAGTCACCTGGTAAGCTACAATACAATTGCTGAAGGGCTGTATTTGGCTTGGCAGATTGCAGGTTATGCAGGCCTGTGGTACATGCATTTGAGTTGAAAACTGATATGAAATCTGGACAAAATAACAGCACTGGGACATGCATCTGCTTGTAAGGAACAAAGATCTAAATTAAGTGCAAATAATATTTTATACCTCAAACACTTCTTCCATTTCTCTTCTGGAAAGCAACAGAAGGTAAACCTGACACACCATGATCAGTAAATGATCAGCTTTAGGAGACACACTTCAACATAATTTTCAATATTATCTTTCCCATTAGCAGAACCATATGTACTCTAGATTATGTGACTTTTTTGAATTTATTGTTTAAAAAGTATCCAGCATAGGCAAACGTTGAATTAGACTCCTGGTTAGATGTCTGAACTAGAAAGGGATTAAAAAGTAATACTGTTCAAATAAAATGTGATTACAAAGCTGCCCAAGCAATCTCAGACCTTTACAAACCTATAAAAAGTTGTGTTAACAGAAAGGAACAAATCCACGATTTAAAGGTTCCTAGCCATCAGCTGAAAAAATGATGAAGTGCTTTTGGATGATTGCCACTCCAGTACCAATTACTGGCTTGGATCCTATGACATTATTCCCCTTCTGCTTCTCTCTGGTCATTGTGGAGGCTTTCATCCACTGTGGCGCTTGCTTTCTCTGCTACTAACACTTCCACTTGTGCAACATCAATGTTTTTCAAGTAGCCTTTACACATGCACAAGTGCTACTGGGAGAAATGAGTACTGCAGTGAAGGAACTCCCTGAAATGGATGGAGAGAAGTCTGAGGGGAACAATGTTACAGGATCCAAGCCTCCGTCTTCAAGGGGAGCAAACATAAGGTAAAGGTAAAGGTTCCCTTGCTCGAAAGCCAGTCGAGTCCGACTCTAGGGTTGCGGTGCTCATCTCCGTTTCAAAGCCGAAGAGCCAGCGCTGTCCAAAGACATTTCCATGGTCAAGGCGCACGGAACGCTGTTACCTTCCCACTGAAGTGGCACCTATTTGTCTACTTGCAGTTTCTTGCTTTCGAACTGCTAGGTTGGCAGGAGCTGAAACTAGAGACGGGAGCTCACTCCGTCATGCGGCAACTCGGGTCTTGAATTGCTGAACTACCGACCTTCCACAGCCTGCAGTTCAGCATCTTAACCACTTGAGCCACTGCAGCTCCTGGATACAAGGATAAAAATCCTGAGAAAACTGACCCTAAAGCTACCACTTGGAACCCGTCACTGCAGCTGTGTTCTTAATGACAGAGATGGTTTCTTATGCCTTCTCTCTAAATAAATAACATCCATCCATGTTACAAGCTATTTTCTCTCTCTTTACTGTACTACTATGTATGTTCGGCCCAATGTGCATTTCAATCAGCATGACAAAGCTGAAACTCAAAAGCACAAAAGGAGAATTCAACTACCATTAACTGGACATTCTGGACAGAAGGAAACTGTAGAAAAAAGTCTGGATGTATTCTGAGTAGAAGGACTCTCTTCTCAAGGTCCATTCATACATTAAATTCACACATGCAAGTATTCTACTTCACCAAAACTTTAACTCTCGAGAAGCATCTTTTTGCTTCAGAAATATATTGGAAAGATTAATACACTTTGATTGTTTACAGTTTCATTCTTCCAGATGATTGATTTTACATTTCTTTTGCTTTAGCTCCTGTACTGCTGTTTGAACCTACTTTCTGCCATTAGCACATACCAAAACACTGATGGGATATATTACTATGATGTTGCAGTTAACCCAGATGAACCCAACTATTTCTGGATATATAATAGAGTGCCAGTGATGGAACAGTACAATCATACAGCTGACTTCTCCAACAATATTCCAAAAAGGAGTGTAGTAGCACGGTGCAGATGTGCTGCTTTTATATCCTATGCTACTCTTTGTGTGCCCTGACTTGGATAGCCCAGGCTAGCCCAATCTCATCAGATCTTGGAAGCTAAGCAGGGTCAACGCTGGCTAGTATCAGGATGGGAGACCTCCAAGGAGTACCAGGGTCGTGCTGCAGTGCCAGGAAATGGCAAACCACCTCTGAACATCTCTTGCCTAGAAAACCCTATGGAATCACCATAAGTCAGCTGTGACTTGACGGCACTTTACACCACCATTACCATTCTTTGTGTAAATTATACTGTTCAGCATAATATGGCAATAAAATACACTAACTTCATTTTATAAGGTAATAATGCCTGCAAATATACAAACATCAAGCCTAATGCCTTGTCTGATGAAGTACATTACTGCTACATAAAACTGGATATTACTACTATATAAAATTTGATGCCATGCTAAAAGAGACAACCTGCATACTTTGTAAGGGAGAATGTAATGATATGAAGAAAATCAGGGCAATGTAAAAGTGGTATAAAGAAATGGTTTGCAATGATCATTCATCAATTTGATGCAAACTGTACTAAATAAAATATTAAGTATTACAGACTAAATAGGGCCTTTATTTGTGCTAGTGTGAAGGAGCCGATGTGGCAGGAAAACACAAGCCTGATGTTTTATTTATCCTTTTTTTGCATTTCTTGTTGCCTTATTCACTAATAATGTCAATCCATGGCCTAAGTAACAATTTTTTTAAAAAAGGAAGAATACTTGTTTATTGCTAACCAGAGATACATCTGATTTCATAAAACAGCAAATGAAAACACCAGAAATACGTATAAGCTCCCCAACAAGAAGTATATACATACATGTAAATAAACAGTAAATGCAATAATACACATTTAATAAATGTGTTTGCATATAAAAAGGTAAAGGTTCCCTTGCTCGAAAGCCAGTCAAATCCGACTTTAGGGTTGCGGTGCTCATCTCCGTTTCAAAGCCGAAGAGCCAGCGCTGTCTGAAGACGTTTCCGTGGTCATGTGGCCGGCATGACTAAACGCTAAGGCGCACGGAACGCTGTTACCTTCCCACTGAAGTGGTACCTATATACACACATGTATATCAATGCTTTTTGTTAATACAAGTTTTCGGATACAATACAGATGTAATGCAGTCTTAACAGAAATCTCTCTGAGGCACCATCCTTCAGTATAACAGGGAGGGAAAAATAACTTTCACCTGCCTCGTCCTACAACATAAAAATTACTTATTTGTTACCCATACAACTGAATAGTTTCAAACACTGTCCTACTATTTATTTATTAGACTTCTATCCCGGCCCGCCCTTCCACATGGGCTCAGGGCAACTAACAAGAGGCAAATGCCATACATAACAATAAAACCAATAAAACAATCAGGTTACATTTTACATTTAAAATCGGTGCTCACAACAAGATTTCAGAGCCCTGGGCATGCTTATTAGAAGAAGACTAGGTTTTTGTAACCCACTTTTCTCTACCTTAAGGAGTCTCAAAGTGGCTTACGATCTCCTTCCCTTCTTCTCCCCACAATAGGCAACTTGTGAGGTAGGTGGGACAGAGAGAGTGCTGAGAGAACTGTGTCTGGCCCCAGGTCACCCAGTAAGCTTTATGTGGGGAATCAAACCCAGTTCTCCAGATTACAGTTTGCCACTCTTAACCACTACACCGCACTGGCAGTCTGCCTTCTTTCTTCTCATCCACAATGCAAATCCCTTGGTAGGGTGGGAGGGGGGCTCTTGGTAGTTGGTGATTCGATCCTTAGGAAGGTAGACAGCTGGGTGGTGAAACCGCGTACTGACCGTAGGGTGACTTGCCTGCCTGGTGCAAAGGTAGCAGACATTACGCGTGTTTTAGATAGGCTGGTAGATAGTGCTGGGGAGGAGCCAGTGGTCGTGGTCCATGTTGGCACCAATGATGTGGGGAAATGCAGTCACGAGGTCCTGGAGGAAAAATTTAGGCTGCTAGGCAGGAAACTCAAGGCCAGGACCTCCAAGGTAGTCTTCTCAAAAGTGCTACCAGTACCACGTGCAGGGCCAGAGAGACAGGCACAGATCAGGAGTCTCAGTGCGTGGATGAGACGATGGTATAGGGGGGAAGGGTTCAAGTTTCTCAGGCACTGGGATACTTTTTGGAACAAGAGGGAGCTGTACAGAAGAGACAGTCTCCACTTGTCCCAAGAAGGAACCAGGCTGCTGGCGCTTAAATGCAAAAAGGTGGCAGAGCAGTTTTTAAACTGAATATTGGGGGAAAGCCGACAGGAGATGAAAAGTCTCTGGTTCGGGATGGCTCATCTCAGGGAGATGAGGGGGTAGCTGTTGCTTTTCTACAGGGAGGTGGATTGGAATTGTCCATTGAGACTATGGCTAGTGATATGGACTGCCTGACAAGGTCTCGAGATAGCAAGAGGACGGTTGCAGGCTTAACTTGAATGGGAAATTATAGGTGTTTCTATACAAATGCTAGAAGTGTCCAAGTTGGAGTGCTTGGTGTTGACGGAAAAAATA